TGAGTTGTTTCTAGCAGCTGGTGGCCCCCTTTCTGGTCCTGTTTCTGTCCTTGGAACTTGGTGGGGGGGGGCCTGGGTTCTGATCTGTGTTGGTGGTGGCACAAGGCTGTGATAAATGTCCTCCTGTTTGGGGACCTCCCCCCCACAATTCAAGTGAAGACTTTGGTTCCTTCCTACTATGGCCCCTTGCCCAGGGAAGTGCGTGCTCCCTCCACCACAGCCCGGATCACCCTTGAGTCCAAGGCTGGTTGTCAGTTCCGAAACTGTGTCCAGTCTCAAGCCCGGACCGTACAGTGGAATTCCCAGCATGCCTTGCACTGGGCCGGCCCCTGTTGGGAATGTGAGGGCCTATTTAGCCAGAGGGATTCCATCTTGGGTTAAACAGTGATTTTGTTGTTCACGAAGTAAAACTTAAACTGACCCTGCCCCTCCCCCCAGGGACTTACTTACCAGTCCCAGGTAACAAAGCCCAAATACAAGGGTGGGTCAGGCCAGGTGGAGGTATCCAATCAGTGAGGGCACATACTGTCTCCCTAGCTACCAAAGAGTGTGGGTCCCGCCTTTTGGGTGCCAATTCTGACCAAGGTGATAGGCTGGTTCAAGTATCTACTAGGGTAAATTGTAATTCAATTGGCCACCCGTGTGTGACCTAGCATGACTGTGCAGCTTTCTCCATCTGTTACAATTTCATTGGCCACCTGTGCATGGCCAGGCCCAACCACAGGGCCTTTGCCCTTAAAAGCTAGTCTGTAAGGCAGGGAGGGGTTGCGCTCTCTGTAAGAGGCGCGGCCCCGAACGGTCGGTTTGATTCTTGATGCTTGGCGCGAAATAAAGCTTTGCTTGACCTTCGCTTTCTATCAGTCTCGCTCCTTTAATCACGGACCCATTACTGGGGGACCTTTCAGGACTAGAAGAGATTTAGGAGTAAGTGAACCATGAAGCCAGACTTTCAGGAACACACTTCTTACTCACTCATCCTCCGTCTCTGTTAGGCCCTCAGATGGAGGGCATTGCAATTTAATATTTAAACAAGAAGCTGAATATTGCTACAGAGGCAAGGGAAGCATTCCCTCACCCCAGTGCGGCTGGCTACCGGCCTCCTTGCCTGTGCTTGGTCAGCTGGGAAGGTTCATTCAATTATTGACAACACACCTGTCTCAGGCCCTGGGGGACCCCTTGCTGACCCCTCATGAAGGAATGGGTCCTCATCTTCTTCCCCAACTCCCAGGCAAGAACATCTGCAAACGCACCCACCACCGGCCAGAAACAAACCGCAGGGTTCCTAGGATCTGATGACTGTCCCTAGGGCAGGCTTCCGTGGGAGCTGGCCCCTCCTTTCTCTTTTCCGAGAAATGGAGAACTCAGTTGCCCAGCAAATGTTGCTGCTCCTACCACGAAGGGGGATAGCCCGAGGCTGCCAGAGAGCATCTAACAAAGCAAGCTTAGGATGGGGCAGCACCAAGCACAGGGTCTCCAGGGAATCGGGGAGAGGCAGAGGAGCCAAGAAGGGGTGTGTGCATGGCTGTGTGTGGGGGGGGGGGGCACCTGGTCTGTGGATATTGCACAGGGAGGTCAGGAAAAGGCCTCTCAAAAAAAAAAAGGAAGAAGCCTCTCTAGCTCCCGGAGCCTGCCTCCTTCCTGCCTAGAGCCTGGGGCTCAGGACGGCTCAGTGGCTGGCCCATGCAATCGCCGCAATCACGCAAGGAGGCTGGTCCCATCCATTTCTGCAGAAGAGGGAACAAGGCACAGCCCTGGCCAGGGCCCAGAGGCCAGGAGACAGGAAAGGGGATCCTCACACTCCCTGCTCTGCCCCGTGCATTAAGACGATTCCTCCCAGCCCCAAACCCTCCACCAGGATGGGCACAGGCTGGGGTCCGTAGGGCTGGGTGGTGAGGGTGGCACCTTGTGGCCTCACAGCAGGGCGATGATTCAGCCTTTCCCCCTTCCCTCTGCCTGCCCACACCCATCCCCTTGGTCTCTTTTCTCCAGGACATGGCTGTTATTTCTGGCCAGCGAGATCCTGACTGGTTTCTGTCTGCTTCAGTAAGGGCTGGGTGTGGGGCAGGCTCAGCGAGGTACAGCCCCCCACCCAACCGTCAGGTTGATGGAAGGACAGTCCTTCATGGAACGTGGGAGAGGAAAAAAATCACCTCTGTGCCCTCTGCCTTCCCCTGCCCGCCCGCTTCCTTGGAGAGAGGATGCCAGGAACATCTGAGAGTTCTCCCATTCTTGGCCCTGCCTGGCATGATGGGAGGAGAGTCTGGGGCCAAGGTTCCCTCCTGGGCCCATTTCCAGAACGAGGTCCCCCTCTGAGGTCTGTAAACATTTGGCCAAGCTGTGTTCCTTCAGAACTGGCTTCAGCTCCTCCCGACTGGCCCGGGGCTCCTGGGTTAGATGTCAGGGATGGCCAAGGGCCCAGCGATCTTACTGATGCTCCCGGAGAAAGGCGATCCAGAGTTGGTCCCTCAGCTCTGCATGGACCGCTCCGAACTCCTTGAGCACCCCCCTCCCCAACAATGACATGGATGTGCCCCGCCAGGAGCCTCAGACCAAACCCAGAAATAGCCCTGAGAGGGCTCTGGCATGGCTCTGCCCTTCAAGATCTTTGGGGGAAGAGGCCAGAACCCCACAGTCAAGGAGGTGCTTGGGGGCTGTGGGGCTGGAGGGAGGGTAGTCAGAGAGGGCTCCCTGGAGGGGACATCAGCCGTTTGGGAAGGAACAAGAGGAGTTTGTTGGTGAAGATGGTTGGGAAGGGCGTTGCAAGCAGCCACATAGGCACAGAGGATCAACATGTGGCCACTGGGCGAGGAAGAAGAGTCAAGAATGTGCAGTTTAGGGCGCCTGGATGGCTCAATCCACTGAGCGTCTGCCTTCGGCTTGGATCATGATCTCGGGGTCCTGGGATCAAGTCATGTTTTGGGCTGTCTGCTCTGCGGAAGTCTGCTTCTTACTCTGCCCCTACCCCAACTGTTTGTCTCAAATAAATAAATTAAAAAAAAAAAAAAAGACTATGCAGTTCAGCATGCGTGGAGGGCGGTGCACAAGGCTGGAGAGGGAAGCAGGACCACAGCGGGCCTGTAACGCGGCCCGAGCTAGGCTCTGTTCCATGGGCAACAGACACCCACAGAGGCACTGAGGGTGAGCAGGTGACGCTGTTGGCCTCATCTCTGCGTGCTGGCGCCTAGTAGGCACTCACATGCCATGGCCGAGTGACTGATTACACAAGTCTCGAGCCTAAGAGGGTGTCTGTCTGTCTTGCTTACGTATATATAGTTAGGGTCGCCTGTGGGGCTCGTTAACCGTCTGCCTTCTGCTCAGGTCATGATCTATGATCTAGGGTCCTAGGATCAAGCCCTGTGTTGGGCTCCCTGCTCAGCATGGAGCATGGGGTCTCCCTCTCCCTCTACCCCTCCCCCTGCTTGTGTGTACATGCTCTCTCTCTCTAATTAGTAAAATCTTTTAAAAGAATAGGGGAGGGGCGCCTGGGTGGCTCAGTGGGTTGAAGCCTCTGCCTTCGGCTCGGGTCATGGTCCCGGGGTCCTGGGGTCGAGCCCGGCATCGGACTCCCTGCTCAGTGAGGGAGCCTGCTTCCTCCTCTCTCTCTGCCTGCCTCTCTGCCTACTTGTGATCTCTGTCTGTTGGGTAAATGAATAAAATCTTAAAAAAAAAATAGGGGAATGATGCTCTGATTGGAGATATAACGGACATATAATCAATCCATTGTTGTCATTAAAATATCACCTGTTCTTGAATACCGCTAGAGCCAGGGAGTTCACTTCCTAACCAGGCTGCCCAAGACAGTCTATAGGCAGAATCCAGAGGTCTCTCAACATCTCCCTCTTGGCTGCCAAAGAGCAACCTGCCAAGCCCCAGGGTTCCTGGCAGTACCCCTGGTCCCGCACGGAAGTGCTTCTCCAGCCTGGTTGGAGCACGCAGCTCTCAGACAGGGCTTCCTCGGTGCAAACCAGCCGGGGCCAGGGCTGCACCTGGCAGAGAGCATTCTCCTCTGGCCCAGGCCTGGCACTGCCAGCAGGGAGGCTCTGGTCTCTCCCAGGATCTGAGCCAGGCATCCAAGTGAGGCAGGGGGGACCCCACAGTCCCTAACACCTTCCCCCTCTAGGCCTGGGGACAGCATGCACCTACTGGGGTAATGGGCTCCTGTGGTGTCTTGTTGCCCCCCCCCCCCCCCCCCCCGCCCAGGGTCCCAGAACTCTGCTCTCCAGGCAGGGCTGAGTGACCTCAAGCACATCATGACCACCTCTGGCCCAAGCTGCTTCTCATCTGCAGAATGGGGCTACTGTGGGCCTGTGCAGTGGCTTCCTTTTATCAACCACCAAGCACTCGGTGTCCGGGAGCCGCTTATATTATGTTTATTATCCTGTGTTTATTGTAGGCAGGATGGGGGTTGGTTTTCTTAAAACCCGCCCCCACGCCCTGGAGTAGCCAGCGTGTGCACGTCACCCTTGCAAGATCTCTGGAAAGAGAACGGGGTGAGCAGGCAGGGCTCCCCAGGCCAGCTCAGCCACTCAGCGCCTCTGACAAAGAAACCAAAGGCAGGAAAGAGCAATGCCCCTGCCAGCCCCAACCCCCAACCCGGGCTCATGAGGCCAGGTGTGCACCCCTGCTGCCTCCCCCACCCCCTCTCCTTCCTACCCCTGTTCTGGGGTTTTTCTATCCATGCTCTCATTGTGGGCACCTTGGCCCCCACTGGGCTGGCTGCCCCGAGATGCCCAGAAGCTGCTTTAATGCGCACAGCTCTGGTGTGCCGTCCAGAAGACCCAGACGCTCACGACAGCGGGTTCTGGGCTGGGGCCCTCCCCACCCCCCACTCGTTGCCTGCACCCTTGAGAAAGCACACAGGCTGGGGGGGTGTCCCACCGGCCTCGCCCGGGAGGGAGCGGACCTGGGGGCCTGCAGTGGGTCCTCCAAGCACACCTCTGGGGCTGACAGCTGCCCACCCTCCCCTGAGCCCGCCCAAATCCTAGGCTGTGGCCACTCAGGCCTCTCTGTCCTGGGCCCTCCCATCTCGCCCCCCGCCAGAAAAGGTGGCCGGGAGCCCTCCTCCATCAGGACCCCCAGTGGTGTGGGGAGGGTGCCCCGGGCAGGCCCGTCACAAGTACATCTTCATGGCCTCATGCGTTGTGGGGCAGTAGCGGGCTTGCAGCTGGGCCAGCAGCGCCTGGGACGTGGCCTCCAAGCGCGTGCCCTGGCTCTTCTTGTTCCACACGTGGACGGCGTACGTGGCCTTGAGCAGCCGCTGCAGCTCCTCGGGGCTGACCTCCTGGAAGTACCTCCTCCAGTCCTGCCAGGGGATGGGGTAGAAGGCCTCGCTGGGCAGGGCGGTGACGCCGCGGCAGGCGTGGCTGTCGTCCAGGCTGCGGATGGAGCACCACTTCTTGAACACCCGCGTGAGCAGCTGCGGGCCCTGGTGGCCCCAGATCCAGCCGTTGTAGTGGGCCACGAAGTCGCGCATGCACAGCGCCATGAACTCGTGGTGGCGATCGAAGGCCAGGAAGGCACCGTTGAGGACGTAGCGGGACTGAGTGCCCAGCGTGTTGGTCAGATTCTGCAGGTTCCTGAGGACGATGAAGTCCGTGTCCAGGTAGATGCCGCCGAACTTCCACATGAGCGCGATGCGGGAGGCGTCGGAGAGCACCGGCAGCGCGTAGGGCTCCCAGCGGTGCCGCCGGGCCGCGTACCAGTCCGCCAGGGGCGTGTCCCGGAACAGCTCCTCCAGGTCCAGCGGCAGCAGGTGCACGTTGGGGAAGCAGCCCAGGAGCGAGAGGCCCAGGTGCCGGGGCAGGGAGGCGTTCCCGCCGGGCAGCCCCTTCATCAGGACCATCACCCGGGACTCGGGGTGGGTCCTGGCAGCCGACTCCACCGAGCACATGAACAGGAAGTTGGGGTTGGTCCGGTCTGAGGTCTCCAGGAAGAAGATGTTGCCCGGGGGCGGGGTGCTGGACAGCAGCGTAGGGAGCACCAGTTGGGGGCAGGGGACCTCGGCAGGCAAGTGAGAGAACTCTCTCTGGCCTCTGGGCTCTCCCACGATGTGCCAGTAGATCATGACGGAGACGAAAAACGTGAACTTGAAGCTGATGATAAACAGGGTGCAGACCCGCTGTCTCGGGGCGCCCCGAAGCAGCCGCAGCAGGCACTCAGGGGCCCCGGGCATGTTCTCCCCAGATGACGCCGAGCGCCCGAGGCAGGAACTGGCCGGTCTGTAAGAGACGAGTGTCACATTCGGGCAGACTGCGGGCATCCCCGGCCCCAAGAACACTTCCCACAAGCACCAGTGATGGCCAGTGCTAGCTTCCAAAAGCCCACGGACCTGCTGGCTCCGAATGCCACCTCCTTCCTCACCTGCAAAGCAGAATGGCAGGCCAGAGGCGGAAGGCTGGGAAGAGTCCCTTTTGCTCTCTGTGACACACCTGGGAGCTTCCCGGGAACTGAGCCAGTGCTACCTACAACACACGGCCATCACGCCCCAGGCCAGGGTCTGGCACAGACGAGGGTTGTCAGAAGCGATGCCTCTGCCACGTGGCACTCGGGCCCCTCTGTCCGGTGAGGTCTGGGCCCCTTGGGCCACTGGCAGCCCGTGATCTGATGCCTAGCACATGGACCCCTCAGGCCCATTCAATTCCACAAGCCAGGCCTGGAGCTGCTCCAAGAGGGCACACTGCCAAGTAGCCTTTGGGCTTTTCAGCAGGAAAGCCTGGGGCCTGGGCAGGCCTGGGCACTGGCACCTGAAGCCTGGAGGGCTGGTGGGCTCCAGGCACCCAGGGATGCATGCTGGGTCCTAAAGCCCTTGTCTCAGACACAGTGAAGTCTCTTTAAGTGTCTGGCTTTCCCAGCCTCTACCCTGGGCCATGCTTCCTAGAGACACAGGTCTGGAGGGAGAGGGGCAGGGAGATTGTGCTGCAAGCCAGTAACCCCGCCTAGGACAGCTGCCCTTCGACCCTCACCCCTCTCCTGGTGATGTCCACCTGGCCAGCAGCCGAGAACATCCTGGGGGCCTTACAAGTGGCTGGGGGAAATGCAACAGGCCTGGGTTCTGTCCCCAAGGGCAGGGCTACGGAAACACCTGGGAGGCACAGGACCTTAAGTCTGCCTGAACCAGCTAAGACGTGGGGCAATTCACTGAGCTCACGCTTCCTACCTGCAGGCAAGAACACCGGAACCCACTAAAGGGCTGACTGTCACCACACACGTGCCAGGTGGCCTGCTCAAGAAGTCACACACATGAAATGTTCTAAACCCTCCCAGCTGCTCTATGCAGTGGGGATCACTGTCCCCACCACCACGAGGCACCGAGAAGTCTGGTGATTCACACACGGTCCCAGGGCAGGCAAGTGGTGGGGCGGGGGCTTGAAGCCAGGCCACCGTCCAGCCTGGGAGAGAAGTGGCACAGGGGGCGTGGTAATGCACCTAGCACTTCGGGGACTCAGTACGCATTTACCCAGGCTGTTACTGCTATTCACGGAACCCCGGCCACCGTTTACCCAGCACCTTCTAAATTCCTGGGGCCCGTGTGCACCCCCTCTGGCTCTCCGTAGCCCCAAGGGTGGTTGGGCTGTTTCTCCTTTAGAGGCCAGGAAATGTGGACACACAGAGGGATGGAGGGACTGGGCACGCAGCCTGGGGGTTAACAGGGGCTGGAGTCAGCCCCTCCCCAGGACAGAAGGGTCTCCTAGCCCGAGGCTAGTGCCAGGAGGCTGGGACTTGAGCCTCTGGCCTGCCCTCCTGGTGGAAGGCTGGGACCCGCGGTGACGTCACTGGCTGGTAACTGACCAGCCTGGGTGGCCCATGGCGGCGAGGTAGGGATCCGGGCAGCTAGGCAGCTCTCCGGGGGACACGCCCTGGCTCAGCAGCCACACTCCTCTGCCGACAGGAACACGGCCCTTCCACAAATGCTCCGCACCCACAAATCCATCTGCAAAAGATGGCGAGACACAGAGTGAGGAGGGCGGCGGGCTCACGGAGGCCTCACGCCCCAGCCACACAGGGTCACTGGCTCAGTGATCTCTCTCGGCCCCACAGGGTGCTTGGGAGGAAGGAAGAGATAGGTGCAGCTCTGCCTCTGGGGAGCTCTCAGCGGGCAGGGGGGCCATCTGGAAACAGACATGGACAAGGCTGGTGATCGCTGAAATGCAGCAAAGGGTCCAGTGGAGCCAGGGGAAGGTGGCTTCCTGGAGTGTGACACTGATGGAAGGGCCTTAGCCAGGTGGGCTCCAGAAGCGACACAGGGTCCTGTGCACCTTTCCCCCGCCAGAGCCCGGCTCAGAGCCTGACCCACAGTAGGCACACACAGCCGGACTCGCCCTCTCGTTGATCTGCTCACTCACGGACTCACTCGCCCGGCGGCCAGAGGGACACTCCGAGGACATTAGCCAGATCATGTCATTTGTCTGCTGAGATCCTCAGTGATGTGGGAGGCCCAGGTCCACCAGGTCCTGCATGGCCCCCATCCCGGCCTCACACCCTGCGTCTCTCCGGGTTGTCGGCTCTCTCCCAGCCACACCGGGCCTGCTCACTCTTTCTCAAACCCATGCCCCCCATATTGCCATCTCAGGGCCTGTGTGTTCACTGTCCCCTCTGTTTGGAACCCTGTTCTCACAGCTGTTCACCTGGCTCGGTCCCTTACCTCCCTCTTGTTCTCACTCAGAAATCATCTTCCTGGGGCGCCTGGGTGGCTCGGCTGGTGACGCGTCTGCCTTCGGCTCAGGTCATGATCCCGAGGTCCTGGGATTGAGCCCCGCGTGGGGCTCCCTGCTAGCAGAGAGTCTGCTTCTCTCTCTTACTCCTGTTCCCTCCTCCCCCTTGTGCTCTCTCTCTCACTCTCACTCTCACTCTTAGTCTCACTCTCACTCTCACTAAATAAAATCTTAAAAAAAAAATCATCTTTTTCCTGTGGGGCCTCCCAGGCCCCAAAACTCCACCTCCCCTGTCCCTTCACGGCCTCCTCTGGAGTTTACTGTCCCCAGTACTTCCTCTGCCATACGGGACGTTTCGTTCTCATTTGTGTGGGTTACTGATGTGGAACGTCACCCCACGGGGATGGGTCTTTTTTGGTTTTCCTCAGCATCTAGATGGTAGATGGGCCCCAGGGATGCAGTCCACAGTCACCGAGCAAAGACTAAGTGGGTGGGTGAGTGAGTCAAGGAAGGAGCAAATCAACGAGGGCAGGAACCAATGAACAATCAGTGAATGAATGAATGAGTGAATTAATGAATAGGCTGGTCAGCGAGTCAGCAAATCAGCAAATGACAAAAGCAGTCAGGAGCGTGTGAGCAAGGAAAGGGGGCTGGAGAGCCGGGGAGCGGCCTGGGATCCCCGGCCGGGTCATGAGCAGCAGCGCCACTAGAAATCAAGAACCTCATGTTCCACTGCCAGGAGAGGCTATTTTGGTTCTGAGTATTTTTAACCCCATGTGAACCACACTGAGGAGTGGGCTGAGAGTTGAACAGATCGAGGCCCCGGCCTCCCAGGGGCCCCGCAGCATTGGGGTGATCTGGCTCTTCTGTGGGGTGGGGTGGGGTCTGGGCCCGTTGGGGAGGCCAGATGTGCCCCCTGAGCCCGCGCCCGCCCCCGTGGAGAGTGCCAGTCCCAAGCAGTGTCGTTATTTGGTCCCGGAGCCCAAGACCCAGGAATAGAAACTGTGCACAGGGCCAAGTTGGCCACAGCCCAATCCCCATGTGACCTCAGGTCCAAAGCATGCTCCTGGCCCCCCGGGATGGGACTCACAGCTGCAGCCCAAGTCCTGGCCCTTGTCAGCAGAGCCTGGCACGTGGCCACTGCCTCCTCCTGCCTCTCTGCCCTAGGGAGATGTTTCCAGTTAGCTTGCTGACTGTGGCCACCACCCTGCTCTGAGCTCCTCTGTGGCTTCCCATCATCAGGACCCCCGTGATCCAGCTCGGGCAGGAAGTGAGGGTGAGATGCACACAGCTGGCAGGTCAAAGGCCTAAAGGCCTGACCACTCCCTGCTCGCTGGGCCCTCAACACCAGCTTCGTGGACCCCCCGCCCCAGTCAGGAGCACCGGTGTCAGGGACCAGGTCCAAGTGCCTAGAAATGGCTTCTCTGCCTGATAATTGTCTCTCCTTCATGGCCCACAGTAGGGGCCACCCCACCTCTGACCTTCCCTCGGCTCCCGTGTCCATCCAGCTCAGCCTGGTGCTGGTGGACCATGACCGGAACAGAGTCATGGTGATAGGCAGTCACGGTCCATGCCGAACCGCGGGCTGCTGGGAAGGGTGCTGACTGGCTCCCAGAGGTCCAGAGAGGGACAGGGATTCTGCCAGGGTCACACAGCCATGGAGGGTGGAGCTGGTGCCCTCAGGGAGCCCTTCCTGCCCACCCCCCCCAGCAAGGACTGCCCCACCCCCAGGTCTTCGTGGAGATGCTTCAGGAGGCAGAGAGCCCAGCAGAAGTCACAAACCACAAAACCAAGGAAACAGAAGAGGGACCCGACTCTGACCTGCTCCCTGTATTGGTTTACTGTAGCTGCTGAGACCACTGACCACAACAGGTGCCTACTTTTTTCACAGCTCCAGAGAGCAGAAGTCTGAAACCACGGTGTCAGCCAGACCCGACTCCCTCTCGAGCTCTAGGGGAGAACTGTTCCTTGCCCCTTCCAGTTTCTGGTGCCCCGCTCCTGCCCCCTGCCCAGGCCTGGGGCTGCTTCCTCCAGCCTCTGCCCCTGCGCTCACACGGCCTTTTCCCACGTATGTTCTCCTCCTCTGTCTGTTGCAAGGACACTTGTCATTGGACTACGGCCCATACTTGGCTAAGCCAGGATCGTTTCCTCATCTCAAGATCCTTAACACCTGCAAAGACCCTTTTTTCCAAAGGAGGTCACAGTCACATGTCGCAGGGGGTAGAACACGACATATCTCCTCTCAGGCCACTATTTATCCCAAAACACCACTTTATATGTCCCCCCTGTCCTGGCGTCTCAGAACCACCCTCTGGTCACACACTGCCTGGAACATCACTGGAATGGCAGCTCCTCTGGACCCCAAGTGGGCCTCGCTGCATGGCCAGAGAAAAGGGGTACCCGCGCTGGTGATTCCCAGGGCAGACGGGGTGGCTGTCAGCTGGCTTTGCCTGCCCAGCATCCACTTTGACAACAGTATCCTGATTTCTTTTGAGGAACCCCCTCCACCTCACAAACCTCACTCTCTAGTTCTTGGGGTGGGCACACGATTCAAGTCTGCCTAATGACCGTGCCATGTTCTCCAGGCCACAGTGAGCAGCTCGGGGAGGAAACGTTAACCCAATCCAGGCCAAACAGAGTCACATGCTTTCTGATGGAGGTGCTAAGATGGAGCCATGAGCCAGGAGGGCAAGCCTGCCTGCCTGCCAGAGAATGAAGCTGGCCCAGAGGCCGGCAGAGATAAGAAATGGAGAGAAAGAGATGCGTGATGATGTCATCATTATACCTGGATGCTGCTATGCCTGAAGCTGGTACATCCTAGACTTCCTGTTACATCAACCAACCAACACACACACACACACACACAGGGGAAAAAGAAAGAAAGAGATGAAGGAAAAGTCTACCAAGCTGAAAGTAGGGATACTTTTGGAGACAGGACAGGATCAGGAACTCAGACCCTCCTTGGTGGGAAGAATCAAAACTTAGATCTTGAAAATCCTGCTTGAAGAGTTCGCAGTCCTGGCCCTGTACCCTTCTCCCATCCTTTGAGTCATAAGTAAATATTTCTACTTAAGAAGTAGGAGTTAGGGGCGCCTGGGTGGCTCAGTGGGTTAAAGCCTCTGCCTTCAGCTCAGGTCATGATCCCAGGGTCCTGGGATCGAGCCCCACATCGGGATCTCTGCTCAGTAGGGAGCCTGCGTCCTCCTCTCTCTCTCTGCCTGCCTCTCTGCCTACTTGTGATCTCTGTCTGTCAAATAAATAAATAAAATCTTTAAAAAAAATAAGAAGTAGGAGTTACAGTTACTAGAAGGTGATTTTTATAAAACAGCTGTTTTCTGAGCAGAACTTATACAGTGTTTCTTCTCTGAAGCCCGTAAGATGTTCTAAAGCCAGAATCGGGTCCACAGTGGCTTGCTCTTTGGGCAAGGTTACCAACAAAATGAGGGAGGTAGAGACTTGTTTTTCCAAAAGGAACAGGGCAGATTCTTGGTTCTGAATCATTCCTCCTCTGCTGATGTCATACAAAGCACAGGAAACAGAAAATAAACCACAAGCTTCAGCTTTAGGGACACTAAGGGCACAGAAAACCCATAAACCCCAACTCACATGTAAATGAGGCCCAAAGCTCCTGAGTCCACCAGATATAGCAGTGAGCCGGGGAGGAACAGGGTGCAGAGGCGACCCGAAGTGGAAGCTGACAGAAATTAGCACTTCTAAGAGGAAGATGAGTAAGTCAGAAGAGTGAACCGGGAGAGTTCAAATTTGGAGGCAGGTGGCCCATTCAAGCCAGTTGTGTTCTGTGAGGCCCAAGTACAATGGATCCAGAAAAAGGTCATATGTTATTTTATTTTTTATTATTTTTAAAAGATTTATTTATTTGAGAGAGAGCACACAACAGGAGGGGCAGGGAGAGAGAGAGAGAGAATCCCAAGCTGACTCCATGCTAAGCCCAGAGCCTAATAGAAGGCTTGATCTTGGGGGCGCCTGGGTGGCTCAGTGGGTTAAAGCCTCTGCCTTTGGCTCAGGTCGTAATCCCAGGGTCCTGGGATCGAGCCCCGCATTGGGCTCTCTGCTCCGTGGGGAGCCTGCTTCCTCTCTCTGCCTACTTGTGATCTTTGTCTGTCAAATAAATAAATTAATTAATTAATAAAAAAAAAAAGAAGAAGAAGAAGAAGAAGAAGGCTTGATCTTGGGACCCCTGAGATTATGACCTAAGTTGAAACCAGAGTCAGACACTTAACCAAATGCATCATCCAGGCACCCCAAGGAAGGTCATATTGTAAAGGAATAATCAATTTCCGTAAAAATGGAGAAACTTTGAGAACTAGCCTGGTCTCTCTCCCAATTTCCACCAAAACCTCCTACTA